GTCCCTGCCTGCTTCATCAAAGTTGGGGTCTGTGATTCTTAGGAAGGGGCTGGGAGCTGGGAGTGGAGGTGATGAAGGAGAGGACGGTGCTGAGGTGACGAAGGAGAGGACGGTGCTGAGGGCAGCAGGTAAACCGAGGCAGCACTTCAGGAGGGCGGGTGGGAGGGTAAAGCAGGACGGGGGAGCTGGGGCCCAGGGGGTGAGGCCTGGGGTGGGGGCCCCAGGTCAGAGAGCTGACTGTAAGCCCGTCGATAGGTTTTGCTTTTAAAATGCAGGCCGGCAGCCTCGGGGTGCCCCGCAGCCCACTCTCCTGGCTCCCTGTGCCAGCTTCCTCCGAGGTGCAGAGCCCTCTTTCGGTTCCCCATTTAGAGATGGCAGACAGTGCTGAAGTCAAAATTACCCCCAGGAAAGTTCAGTCTCACCCGGCCTTCCTGCCCTGCGCCCCCTCCCCGGGGAGCTGTGCGGGAAACTGAGCTCACTGTCTTGGCCAAGCCTGGACACGGGGTCCTTTGTTTTACGGACCCCATGGTCAGTTGCTTCCCCAAGGCTGGGGCAGGCAGCACCCTTCCACTTGTCTCCCCGGGACCCTCCCCAGGAGCATCATTCCGGGTTGAGGGAGATGGCCAGCCGGAGGTCTCCGCTATCCACATCCGTCTCGGCCTGGAGGTGCGCCCCAAGCAAGGGCCCGCCTGTCCGCGCGTCCTCAGCCAGAGAGCAGGGCCACAGCGAGCTGAGCCCCTGCACCCCGGCTTCCAGGCGTGGCATGTGTGTGGGGAGGCAGGCGCGACGCTCTTGCAGGGAGCTGCCTGCAGGGCCTTGGTGGAGGGGATCGTGCCAGAAATCTCCTGAACTTTCCAGAGACCTGGAGCTTTTGCTGGGCGGCGAGAGAGAGCTAGGTGTTTCATTTCTGGAGCTGCCCTAACCTCCCACGGGGTTTTCGGGGGCTCTTGGGTTACGGACAGGCTTCCTCTCCATGCTGCAAGCCCCACGTGACCTGGGTCAGCAGGCAGACCTAACGCAGGGGAAGCTGCCCTGGGCTTTCTCTGCGTAGCCTGTCGGCCAGGTGCTGGAGGTGTCGGCGAAGGAGAGGAGGCTCAGGTCGGAGCTGGGGGAGAGCGGCCACGGGGCAGGGCCGCCGCGTGGCCCATGCTGGCAGCCTCTCCTCTGTTTCAAAATGACTTGATAAATCCCATCAGGAAGGCTGTGGCCGCCCAATGAGGAACGAAGTCTGGAGGCCTCGCCCGGCCGGCGCTGGGGGTGGAGGGCAGCCCCCGGCCCCCTGGCCCCCCGCCCCCCGCCCCTGCCC